GAAGGGACCCTGCATCACCACTTCACTGTCTCTTCCTTAAAATAAGTGCACCTTGCTTCTGACTGTGCAGTGCCTGAAGAAGCATCACAGAATGCATCAGACAGCCCATTTTTGGGAACTCACAAAAAATGTGTACAGGGAAACGTGAAGAACGCTTGCATAGACAAGTTCCAACCAAGTAATGTGTGCAACTCACTGCTGTAGACACGTTTTTAAGAATACCCATAGCAAACCACTAAGTTGATTTCAGAAGTCACTTATAGATTGAGAACCCACAATATGAAAAACACTGACTTACAGAAAATGTTGCCTAAAAAGAAGTTTTTTCCTAAGTCTGGAAAAAAATGGATTTGAAATTACTAATCTATAATTAATTTTCTTGAGCACTGCATAACTTTTTCTTTAAAATCTGAAGATGCATATGAATATTTTTAAGCTTTCTAAAAATCTAGGAAATATCATCTCAATTAAGTGATTCTCTGCAAGAATACATGTTAACCACATAGCAAGTTTTTTACCAAACACTATTAGGAAGGGGGAAAATTCATTCTTTTCCAAAAAAATTATTGTACTTTCATTGCTACATGCAAACAGTGACATCTGGTGGAATGTCATTGTTTTACTTTTTTAAAAATCCAACTTTCACATATTGTAGTTATGGAAACAGATAAATTTCAAATCATTCTTTGTGTTCGTGTTCTGTATGAAAAAAAAAAGTACTAGTCTAATATCAAATCTTCATAGGACAGAGATATAATTTTTTCATCACTCGAAATGGTTGATTTAAAATCCTGCTTGAATCACACGAATGGAGCTATGTTCAAAGAGATTATCTGAAAAATGCAGATTACAATTGATTCTACTTTTAACTGCCACAACTGCGATTTGGGTGCCTGGCCTCCTCACCCACTATGTTAGAAGCTTTAGGTAGGAGAATGTCAAGATAGTTGTGGTTCTGACATGTGCGCTTCTGTATCACCAGCTGGACCCCAGATTTTAAGTCTCATGTTCTTTGTTTTAATATCTTAGGCCACTGCCTAGATTATGTAGTGAAGAGCAAGGCCACATAAGGGTAGGATTGGGGCTAGACTACTGCAACCACCAAGAAATAGCAGACGATGTGATTAAGGGGAAAATTGGTCCCTGATTCCCACACTGAAAAAGCAGAAGATGGAGCATAATATTATAAATGAAATATGACAGCCCCCAGGAGATAATGTTCTCCACATGGCATCACAAAGGTTCAGCATGAAATGGGGGCACAATCTCTTCGGGAGCAGTGGGTAAGGGGAATACAACATCAGGCAGCCCTAAGCCCTTCATGGTTACATAGCTAGCAACAGGAAAGCCTCCACAGGTAACAAGATCCCATCCCAGCCAGGACTCAGAAACAGGATCTCTAGTGTTTAAAGAGGGAACAGGCAGTAAGCAGACAGACTCCCCACCACAACTTAGGCAGAAGCATTGTCTCCAAAATTGGGTCAGAATGGAGCAAATACCAAGAGTAGTGAAATGTTTCCCTTTATACAATAAGATCTCCTCATGTTCTTAGATAAGCAGTAAAAACAAGATGAGGTTGAATATTCAGGATAAAGTGCAAGAAGAAAATATGAGAGGATCTTTCACAAATTCATAAAGAAAAGAGATATAATAGAAACCACACTGAACATCAGAAAAAATCTGAGCACAAATACTACATTTTATCAGTTATCTAAGTATGGACTAATCCCTTAATTGGTATGCTGTATTTTCATTTGAGAAAAGAGATGATTTTCCTACTACAAAGAGTTACTGTTAAAACAACATTAAAGAAATGTAGTATGTCTCTGTATATATTCTGCTATATCATTTTCTCTTTTCTTATCAAGTATCAATATTTGGAGAGTTTGGATAAAATCTCTCATAGATATCTACTATTTATTTGTAAGTTTTAAGTAATAGAGATCATCAAAATAATTACTAACAAATTTGTCATTACACTTTAAAATATGTAACATTTAGAGGAATATGAAGTGTCAAAATAATATCTATAATATCATTCTTGTAAAGACACAGTATATATGTAATAATTGTATGTATGCAGCAAAAAGCCTACAATAATCTTTATCATATTAAAAAGAAAACAAGGGCCAGCCAAATAGCTTTGCAGACTAAAGTGCCTGCTTAGGCAGATGCAGGGACCAGGGTTCAATCCCTGGTGTGCTGTGCCAGCCCCACCCCCAGAGCACACACAGAAGGCCACTGAAACAGGGCATGGTGGCACACACCTGTATTCCCAGCACTTGGGAGGCTGAAAACAGAAGAATCACTATGAGTCCACTCTATGTAGTGAGACCCAGTACACCCTGGGACCCTGTCCTAAATTCAGGAAAAAAAAGAAGAAGAAAACAGTAAGAAAAGGTGATCCTTAGGACAATGGTTTTAACAAGTACAGAGAAAAACTGTTCAGGCAAAATTCTCAGATCCAAAACACCTTCCAGGTTCTCAAATAATTCAATTGGTGACATAAACTCCCATCTCTGGTTTTTCTACTTTATGTCTAAAAGTAGTGTTCTACTTACTCAAAAAAATGAAGAGATAAAACATGTGAAGGAAACCTATCTCGTATTAACTTTGGTTGGTCATGAATGACCTATCTTCATTCATAGATGAGCATACAGAAAAATGCAATAGTCTGTGAAGAGTCTGTGAAGTATAAGAAAGACTATACATGAAGGATGTCTTTTTGATAAACACTTTTTATGGGAAACCAAAGCGTTTTACAGAAGCTCTTCCTTACAGTCTAAAGAAAAAGTTTGAAATGTTTTGATAAAAAGTAACAAAAATCATATCAAACTATAAAGATTTAGATAGTTCTTTAAAAGCCACAGAATTAAGAAAAAATAAAATTGACACATCAGCATTAAAATAACAATTTTTGTGATTTGTAATTTTACAATTCAAGAAATAATGCTTACTTTCATGTGTATAAAAATTTAAGATGGATTATTTTTCAAAGGAAGTCAGAAAATCACTAGAAAGAAAAATGACAATTGTTTTAAATTTAAGTTCTGAAACAACCTAAGAATGATCACCATGAAAATTCCTAAGCAGTTCCCAGTTTTACTACATACATATTAAAGCTTTTATGTAACATAAAACAATATAAACAAAGCTGAGAAGCCAACAAAGTGAAATATATCCACCACATACATGTAAAATAATTAAAATATTTCGTATAAGAAGATCACATACAAAACTGTAGGAAATGAATAATGACTCCAGAGAAAATGAGCTGGTAATTCTTAAAAGAAGAAAAACAGGAAAGCAGGAACTCAAGAACTAACTAAGAGAAGGAAAGGAGAAGAGCTAGGAAACATGACAGTGACAAGTCATACACTTACATGAAGAAGATGGGCAAGGCAATGATCCTGAGAATCTCCAGAAGATTTTTGAATTTAGCAGTTAATTGGAAAGATTCTCACCCTGACTAACTATATATACTGATACCTGTGAACTAAGCAACTACACTGAAGATGGTAATTTGTAATAGTAGTTTCATGAACTATTTGGTCTTATGAATATGGGCTGCTAGTCATGACATGCCAGTTGCTGCTGTGCTGTCTCTTGGGTAGATGACTGTTCAAAAAGAAGGGGGTGGTGAATGAAGGCAAGAGACAGGAAAAGGAATGTTGTGGGACTGTCCTGCTTCAAGGTTGTATACGGTTAGATTTTTGGACTTATGTGTAAACATAAGAAGTATATAATTCTTTATGCCTAATTTTAAAAAATATACTCTAATTTTTAAATGTTTTTTCATCATATTCTGTAGGGACTTAAAGTTCAACATATCAATACCTGATGAAAAATACCTGTTCCGTGTTATGCCTAAGATGTTTGATATTCAGACAGATAGTGAGGTTAAGCATAACAGCCTAGGTTGTATGGTAATAACAATAAGCTTGTCTTCTGGAGGGTTAACAACCTAAGTTTGCAGATCAAAATTAGAGAAAAAGGAGGGCCACAAGGAAAGCCAACATTTTGGCCCTAGCCTTCCAAGACCAATTAAGACTCAGGACACATGAGAATTTGTACTGTAACATCATGTAACTCGGTAGTGTCCCAAATTTTCTGATCAAGGAGATTATGGGGCCAAAGAGGAAAGTGATCGATGATGTAGAGTACGCCTAAGGAGAATCACATGGAGAAAAAACATTCTCTCAGGCTTTCACAGAGAGCACATTGGCCAAGCAATGGCCATGACTCATCCACATGGCTGACACTGACAAAGGATCTACAATCTGAGGTACAGGATCTCAGGATAAATCTTAAGGGGATTTCACTGACCTTCTCAGACCCAAAAGATACAACTCTTGTTGCATAGGTCCTGCTTTACCTTGGTCTTAACCATCCAGCAGAAAAATATAAAAACAAAATATAAGAAGTAAAGCCATGGTGTTATGTTGAGCTGTAGGGGACTCAGGTCAACAATTTCTGACATTGCCAGTGAAGCAGAAGACCCAATACTATTATGAACTGCCAAACTCTTTTAGAATATTTTGCTGAGTTTACACACCTATAATATTCAAAGAACAGAACTAAACAAAAAAAGGGGATACAGATGAATGTTCATTTTGTATCCATGTCTTCAAAGTGGTTAGGATAGATACATAGTTACAGTCCCTTAAAGAATAGAGGGATTCATTCTAATAGTGTTTGTAAATAGGATATCATGTCCACATCTTGTATAGCAATTAACCACTAGCAAAAATGTAGGCAATGTGTTAATTATTGAAACTGTCCTACCAATTTGGTTTGAAACTGTCTCATTGCTATTTGTTTCTCAATAAAATTATGGGAAAAAAACAAAGAGAAAAAGAAGAACAAGTAGATAAAAAATATCTAAAAATTTATCAGCTTATCAGAAATGAATGAAGAATATTTTTCCTCACCATATTAGGCAAAAAAATAAATAAAATCACAACAATTAACAGTTAATTTAAAGAGTATGAGAAGAAGTGCATTGTGGGAGCCTGCTGGTAGGACTTGGAAGATGAACGTTCCATGTTTGCTGAAGGCTAGAGGAAAGTGGAGAGGCTTACCAGTTACATTGAAGTCATCCCTATTCCAAGATCTACATGATTTCTGCTGTCGGAAAAAATCCACTAAACCTAAAAGAATTATTACTAGTTTTGGTGAAAATGCAAAGGAGTCTGGAAATGTACTTAGTAAGGTCTTCTCTTCAGAAGAACAAGCTTCCATCCTGCATGTGTTGAATACAGCATCTAACAAAGAACTTGAAGCCTTCAAATTGCTTCGTGGAAGAAAGTCCATCAATATTGTAGAGCACAGAGAAAAGTATGGGCCATTTCAGAATTCAGAGAGCTTGATTAATGTGCCTTTGTTCCAGTATAAAACTGTCATTCAAGTTTGTAACTCAATTCTTTGTCCAGAGACTGGACAGAAAAAAAAAAGTTGCCAGAAAGCCAGCAGTTAAGAAACCTCATCAAACCAAACATAGAAAGAGAAAGACTTAAGGCAACTAACAGTATCGTGTCTGTTGTTTTTGGTACTCGAAGAATTGCGTGGACTCACCTTGATCGTACACTGGCAGTGCTGGACTGGCAGCACAGTGACTGTTGGAAATTAAGGAGTAAAACAAACCCGTCATCAGTTTATTTAGAAGAGATTTCTTCAATCATTTCAAAGATGCCAAAAGCAGACTTCTATGTTTTGGAAAAGACAGCACTTTCGATTCAGAACTCAACTCTGTTCCCCATTCTGTTACACTTTCACATCACAGAAGCCATGCTGTATGCCTTGCTAAATACAACTTAGGCCCAGAATGGCCAACATCAGGTACTGAGCATAAGTCGAAATGCAGTGGGGAAGCACTTTGAACTGATGATTGGTGACTCTCGAACTAGTGGAAAAGAGCTAGTCAAGCAGTTCATATCGGACTCTGTGCTGAAGGCGGAGCCTCGGGTGTTCTTCCCGAGGGATAAAGTAGTGCAATATAGAGAGAGATTTTTATCTAACTCACACAGAATAGAAGAGTTATATGATTCATTATTACAAGCTGTTGCTTTCTATGAATTAGCAGTTTTTGACACTGGCTCTTAGAATCCTGAGTTAATGTGATTCCTCTAATGTTATGTTTATAAACTGATATTGTCAAACCAGCTGTTCTGAACATTCATGTTAAAGAAGAAAACCACTTTGAGTATATTTTAGATTTTTAAAGTTAGACTTGATTGAGAAATAGTATACACAATAATACAAGACTAAATGAATAAACATTTTAAGAGACTATGCCTTTTGGTTTTAAGTGTTAAAACAGTAAGGATGTCTCCCAACCATCAAAATAAGAAACAAAGTTATCTCCATTTCAAAGCAAATATTGGGCAGTACATTCAGGACCCTTCTGTCTGTCAGAAGCTATTCCTATTTCCCATTGCTTTTTCCATAATAAATTTTCCTACTCTTAAAAAAAAAGTAAACATCTGTATGGAAGACGTACATTGCTCTCATATTGTTAGAACAAGGAATGTTTGTTTTGTTTTGCTTTGTTTTTTCTGGGTGGTGTTTATAGAATAAAGTTAAAGACAACTGGTAACAAAAAAAAATAAAGAGTATGAGAAAATAAATGATATATCATAGATTGCGGTAAAGTATCACCACAGCTGGGTTAGTGGATACCATGAAATAAGTTAAACATTCACACATAACCTTGAATGAAAAAGTAGAGCTACAGACAGCCACATGTGTCCTAAACAGGTACATTCACCACTGATGTCTGAAAGGCTGATCACCAAATTAACATTAACATAGATGTTTAAGTGATTATGTAATGATCTTTAATGATATAAACTTTATTTTTTTAATTTATTAATTTATTTATTTGATATAGGGCCTCGCTATGCAGTTCAGACTCATAGTGATCCTCCTGTCTCAGCCTCCCAGCACTGTGATTACAGGCATGCACCACCATGTCATTTCGGAGCCATCCCAATGTGCTCAGGGTTCCAGGGCCAGCAAGCCATGCAATACCCGGTTCAAACCTGGGTCCTTACGCTTGCCAGGCAGGCAGTTAGACTGCCAAGCTATGTCCCCCACCTGATACCATCAACTTTAAAATGTCTAATGTAAAATTATATACTAACAATTTTAATATCTATAAATATCTCTATACAATATAAAAATCATCTGAAAGTAAAATATTTCAACATGAACTATATAGTTCTCATCCAAATTGGTGTTCAACAAAACAAATACAATTTTGAAGAATGCTTTGCTATTTCAAATAAACTTAAGTACACTCTCTTATCACTCCACTAAAATAACCTTGACATTGGCCACAACTAACTACTATATTCAGAAATATAAAAGCATTACAACTGTATAGCAACAAGTACTAATATGTTTTCAAGTTAACTGTGCATTTAACAGAAAATGCAAAAGCCATTAAATTGAAAAGGTATTCATTTTTTGTTTATAATTACAGTAAGTATTACTGTGGAATGCATATTAATGCAGAAGCAAATTATACATCTGTCTGAACTCAGAGGCTCAGTAGACAGATATATTCTGAAAAGGTTAAGCTATGTTTAGCAAGGTAATCCTTGAGAGATGGATGCTAAAGAATTAAACATTCCGCGCTTACATTAACTTCTTATTTGGTACTTAGGAACAAATTGCCAAGAATTATCATTATTAAATAGAGCGTGTATTGATTCTGAGAGAAGATAAAGTGAAGTCTATGTGAAAAAGAGAGAATTTTTAGAGTTTGAAAGAATCCATCATTTGAGATACTTTGTATGAACAATAGAAGCTGTTAAGTCCTCAGAATTATTCAGTGTTCATGGGCATGGTGCAAAATCAGACAGGCTGGGCCCTCTATTTCAAAAGAATAATCAAGTAAATTTAAAACTTAAAAGCTTATACAGTTTCAAGACTAATCGACGATGTGTATATCTGTATTTTCTACTTCAACTTTTAGGCTTTTCCAGGGCATTCCCATGAATGTCACACTTAACTTTTGAAATTCCCAAAATTCTTTGCAAACATTTAAAAAAAAATAGTGAACACTGATGACTTGACAAAGCTAAAAAAACTTTAGATGCATAAAATTATGATTGATAAATGAATCCAAAAGATATATTATTTAGTCTAATTAAAAAATAAATACAGGGGCTGGGGAGATGGCTCAATGGAATAAGCGCTTCCCTGGCAAACACAGGGGCCTGAGTTCAATCCCCGGTTCCACCAAAAAAATAAATAAATAAATAAATACATACATACATACATACATACAATAATGACACTGTAGCAATTCAAGCTGAAAATTTTGACCACGCAACACAGGTCATTCCAAACTATGAAAAAATGCAACCGTTCCAACTTTATACTGAAGCCAAGCAAAAAATTACTTTTTAGTAAATGTGTTTAGACTAGACCATGACAGCAACAGGTAAGTTACTAATAAATTTGTGAGAGTGTAATTAAAAGTGATCTTTTAAAATATTATTCTCCATTAGGCCTGGTGGCACATGCCACATGCTGAGGCAGGAGGATTGTCACGTATTTGAGGCCACCCTGGGCTACAAAGTGAGCTTAAGGGCAGTCTGAACTGCATAGAACAACACTGTCTCAAAAAGACAATCAATCAGTAAATTATTCTCAGTGCTTGCTTCTGTAGCACTTCTACTATTATTCTCATATATTTAGAGAAGTAAAGCTCAAGTATTAAAACAGGTTCTATTTAAACTCATGTTTTCAATGTGCCTAAAAAATGTAGTAGATGAGGTGGTTTTTTGTATAAAAGTATTTTAATTGCACACATTGTTTTTTGTTTGTTTGTTTTTTGGGTTTTTTTGGTAGGACAGTTTCAATAATTAACACATTGCATACATTCTTCCTAGTGGTTAATTGCTGTACAAGATGTGGACATGATATCCTATTTACAAACACTATTAGAATGAATCCCTCTATTCATTAAGAGAATGTAACTATATAACTATCCTAGCCACTCTGAATACACAGATACAAAACGAACATTCATCTGTATCCCCTTTTTTTGTTTAGTTCTGTTCTTTGAATATTATAGGTGTGTAAACTCAGCAAAATATTCTAAAAGAGTTCAGTAGTCCATAATAGTATTGGGTCTTCTGCTTCACTGGCAATGTCAGAAATTGTTGACCTGAGTCCCCTACAGCTCAACATAACACCATGGCTTTACTTCTTATATTTTGTTTTTATATTTTTCTGCTGGATGGTTAAGACCAAGGTAAAGCAGGACCTATGCAACAAGAGTTGTATCTTTTGGGTCTGAGAAGTCAGTAAAATCCCCTTAAGATTTATCCTGAGATCCTGTACCTCAGATTGTAGAACCTTTGTCAGTGTCAGCCACGTGGATGAGTCACGGCCATCGTTTGGCCAATGTGCTCTCTGTGAAAGCCTAAGAAAATGTTTTCTCTCCATGTGACTCTCCTTAGGCACACTCTATATCATCAATCACTTTCCTCTTTGGCCCCAGGTCAATTAAGACTCAGGACATATGAGAACTTGTACTGTAACATCATGTAACTCGGTAGTGTCCCAAATTTTCTGATCAAGGAGATGAGTTTTTTTAGGATTCCTACCAGCTACCGAATTCTTAGGCAAGAGACTCATATGTTCCTGACAGACAAAGGCTTTGCCCCCTACTGGGCTTTGTGAGTGGGAAGGTGGGGTGTTAAAGCTTACTCCTTTTATGTAAGAAATAAAGACCTGCATACAGTACAAGGAGCAGATGTACAGAGTATCAAGAGTACTAAAATGTAATCAGGAGGGGTGAATGGGGGAAATCTTAAGGAGGAAATGCAAAAACGATGAAGAAAATCTCAGAGAAATTTGGATTTTAATCACTATCCAGAAATAAGAATGTAGGCAAGTTGCTGTGGATATCATGGAGCCTAAATTTCTTCTTAAATAAAATGGAAATTACGACTTCTTCCTTACAGCTGAAGATTTGAGAGCATTTGCAGAAGCACATGGCATGACACTCAGAGTATTCTCTTCCAAAATAATTTCAGCTCCCTTTCCTTTCCTCTTCTCTTTTGACAATGTTGTGTGTTTTGTATTCTTCACAACACACTATGTTGATTTCATAAAGAACTGAGACACAAGGAGAAATGGAATAAACTCAAGAGGCAGTGACCTGGGCCCACATCCAGTGATGCTGCAATCTAATTCAAAAGACTGTTTGAGTTCCAAATATGAATTTTTTTCATTGTTTACATGGAGCCCGGTTGATGAACTTTTATGGGCCTCAATTTTCACATCAATATTCCAGAGTTGTTATGGAGTACAAATGAGAAAATTATGTAACACTTTTGGGGAACTGCATTAAAAGTAATTTTATAATAGTCTGTTGCTGTGGTCGAAACACATCCTCCAAAGTTCATGTGCTGGGAGTCTAATTCCCAAGGAAAGTGTCAAGAGATGACACCCTGAGGAGGTGATTATATCACAAAGGCTCTGCCCTGAGGAAACGTCTCATGCCACTCATCTAGGAGTAATTTGCTTTCCCAGGAGAGGTTCCTGATTTTTAAAAAAATGATGAGTAGAAGGAATTAACTCACTCTCCCCCTTTCCTTTACTTCCTCCCTCGCACACACTCATGCTCTCTCACTTTTGTCCTTTATTCTTCTGTCACAGAATGACACAACAAGAAGGCCATCGCCATGTGTCAGCACCTTGCCCCTGGACTCCACCGCCTCCAGAACTATTAGAAATAAACTACTTCTTTTTCATAAATGCCCTGTCGGAAGTGTTCTGTTAAAGTAACACAGAATACGCAGAGATAAGTATGGTTCTTGTCAACTACTGCCAAACATGAAGACACCATCTTAGTCTAGGTATGTACTAGCAAAGCCATGGAGAAAAACAAAATGGCTCATTTATTGTCCAAGGACAGAATCAGATCTTTAAAATCTTAACCTCGAAGATGGAACTTTTTTGACATTTGAAATCTAACTTAAAGCAAAATTACCAAAGAACTCTTACCTATCTCTTTGTGTATCTGCGAAGAGATCACCCAGGAATGATGGTCCAAAGATTCCCAGCGGGGCGCTGTGGCCTTTCTTGTCAGCAGTGTGGTACACTCGAGAGGCCAGGTGCAGATCAAGTGGCAGCTGCCGGGCAGGGGTGGCGGTGCATAGGTGGTGCAGGTGAGGAGTGGGGCGGGCCTGAGGAATTCTGCAACACAGGAGAGGATGGGAGCTGCTCTACCACACTGCACTCTTTGTATGAAATACATTTACACTGACACTTTTGCTCAGGTTCCAAAAATGATACCTCAGTGGAGGTGATCAGATATAAAACTGTAACAATGGCTTATAAGTAATTTAATGTAACAGCCTCGGGTCACTGTCTCAAGCTTCAAATTCATATTCAAGTGCTTGTAGAATATCTCAGCCCAAGAGCCATATATATATATATATCACAAGATCAAATGGTGTCTAAAACAAATTCATCATCATCCCACTGCTAGCCTCTTTGTACCTGAATTCTACAAACCAGCCCAATGACACCAAGGCCAGCCATCATACATCCCTTCTTTCTACTCTGCTAAAATACAAATGTCCCTTAAAGAAGTAAAATATTATACCTAACACATTACCCATTCATTAGCATAGCGGAGGCCTGTGTCTGAGTCAGTGCAGCCAATCTTCCTTTCACTTTTCCAGAACTTCTCTCCTGGCTTCCCAAAGTAGCTAAGAGGCATGACAGTCTGCATCCATGGTCCAGGCCCCTTGCCATCTAATCGGTAATACAGACTGAGCACGGCAGTGTGCCAGGCTCTGTGCCCTGTGCTTTGCACATCGTCCTTCCAGCACTTACGAGGAACCTCCATTACAGGTATACTGCTCTTGTTTTGAAGCAGGTTTATTTTGGACAGATCATAAAACAAGTGAGTGGTTGCTAGGATCCAAACACAATGCTGGTAACTACATACCAAATTTCTTTCCTATTAAGCCTATTAATGGCTCCTAAGTAACCCTTTATCCTGTACTACCCCATCCCTACCTTCCTACTAAAGCTGTACATTCCCATTAACCCAATGAATTTATCTTCATCAAGTCAACTTTAGATCTATCAATCATGTTCTCTAATAACCTCCAAGCTACTACTGACAGTATTCGCAACTCTTCTTTAAATTGATCTTTCTCAGGGCTGGCCAAATAGCACAGCGGACTAAAGAGCCTACAAGCACATATAGAGGTCAGGGGTTCAATCCCTGGGCCTGCTGTGCTGGCCCACCCCCGGGGCACACTGAAACAGCAATTGAGATTGGGTGTGATGGCACAGCCTGTAATCCCAGCACTCGGAAGGCTGTAAACAGGAGAATCACTATGAGTCTGATCTAGTAGTGAGACCCTGAACACCCTGTACATCCTTCCCTAAAATACAAAAAATAAAAAATAAAAAATAGTTCTTTCTCTATGAACTTTTTACATTCTGACCATTCTCATTTTCCATCTTTTTTTCAAGTTCAACATAAATTCAACTTAATCATTGGCTTTTCCTTCTCTAGCTTTCCAAACTGGGTATAGCTTTGGAACTTTGAACTTCTCTTTCAATATTGGAAAAAAATCACCTATCAATTTTTCAGCTATTCCTCTTGGCTCTGAGTGTTCCCAAATCTCAACTCTATCACACTACCTCCCTGGATTTTTTTTTTTTTTTTTGATACAGAGTCTTGTTATGCAGTTCAGATTCATGGTGATCCTCCTGTCTCAGCCTTCCCAGTACTGGGATTACAGATGTGTGCCACCATGCCCAGTTCTGGGGCTGGCACGGCACTCCCAGAACCCAGGCATGCAGTACCAGGGACCAAATCCAGGTCCTTGTGCTTACCAGGTAGGCACTTATGCTGTCAAGCTATCTGCTCAGCCCCATCCCTAAATTGTTCGTCTTCAAAATCAAAATACCTTTGACTGGTGCTGGTGAGATGGCTCAGTGGTCTAAAGCACCTACTTAGAACAAGCTTAGCAAAGCAGAGGGACCAGGGTTCAATCCCCCAGCACCACAAGCTAGCCAGCCCCGCCCCCTGGTGGGCTGAGCTGGCCACACACACACACACACACACACACAAATAATTAAAAAATTATTTTAAAAATACCTTTGACTTCTCTTCCACCTGCACCTGCCTATCCAGTGCCAAACAGAACCCTTCCCTCCCCCAGCGAGGTTG